GCTGACAAGGTTCAGTGAAATAGGTCACGAGTTGCAGAGGAAGGGAAGTCAGTGATGAATTCACAATTCGAGTTTATTTCAATAGATACGAAGCATTGCCAGCCACGTAGTTCGCTTTAGAAGGCGATTCTATACTTTGTCTGCGATCTTCCATTCTGTTTCTTGTCCGTACAGGCACTCTCCAGAAGGCTGAGCCATCGTGAACTGAGCCTTGTATTCTCCGCGCTCAACATCTTCAGACCATTTGTCTGTGTTTAGAGTGTAGTTTTCCAAAGAGTAACTTCCCTGCAAGAGTAAAAATATGTTTATTAAATTATTTTGACTCAGTTTTTTTAAAGCATCTCCTGTTTCAAGTCGTTCTATTCAACAGTCAAATATTTCGATGGATTATTTTATATGTGCAGTGGAGTTGCTTTCTCACGCCAAGTTGTAGTATGACACGTAGTGTGTGCGTTTGTTGTTTATTTATTTCAAACCATATTCAATTGTTGATTCTTCAAATTGAATTATGTAAGTTCATCATCACACGGACCTCATTCCTTCATTTGTTACGATTTGTAAAAAGTTTCAGGCGACTTATAATGAGTTTTCTAAAAATTTGATTGACAACTGCTTTATGACTTATTTTAAACCTCATACGTAATTACTAATTATTTCTCAAAATGTGACGACTTATATTTTTCGATGTTTAGTTTTTATCTTTATTCCTATTAATCGCATATGCTATTGTAACAATTCGTAAACCTTGGATTTCGATTTGTCTGTTTTGGCCAGTGAGTAGTACCATGTCAGACGTAACAAAATGGCGATGGAGCTGGCCCTAGAATCATGCTTGTCGGGACTTACGGTACACGTAAGACTATGCTAATATAAAAGCGTGTTGGAATTAAACACGAATTATTTATTTTCTGTGTTAATCTGTCGCCTTCTTTATTCCTTTCGTGTATATTTTTCGTACCTTTGTGGGATTACCCCCTTTCACTCGCATTGTTTTCCCAGTCCTTTCTTTTTTCCTTCTTCATCGTCATCATTTCCTTAAGACAGTATACGTTTATGTCCTCTTACCTTCCTTCACCCTTATTTTCTTCCCTTGGTCCTTATTACTTTTCATTGCTACAGCATCCACCATTTCTGTTTATATCACATCGTCTAAAACCTGCTATCTGAATATGCTACAAAAATTTCAAGGAATTTTGCAAACTCATATTAACTCTTTGAAGTTGCAGCTCACTCGAATAATTTTAAAAATTCAGTCTCTACCACAAATAAAACACTTCACTATTACAATGATCAGTTGATTAATTCTGTGTAAGGGAATTATTCGTGCTTACACTTGAGAAAGTTTCAAGAAACATAAATACCCAGTTGCCGAGCGTTAAAATAGGCCGTACACATAGTTCCCATTGCCGTGATGATGGAGGCAGTTAGCACGTCTGAAATGTCTGTATACTTCTATCAGATTACACTGTAACAACTAACAACCCAGAATTCAAATTCATAAGTGAACGTCAGTTACTGGTTTTGATATATGAGCTGTAAAACTTACCTCTTTCAGAGGGCATTGCTTAGGAACGTTTTGCTTCTCCATGGATTTCTTGTATATGTCATTTTCGAAGACCTTGCAACAGTTTTCTGGTATTAAAGAGAGGGGCAATTTCTTGTACTCGTCTCCTTCTTTCTTGAAGAAGTCTGTCTTACACTGAAAGATTAAAAGGTCGCATATCTGTATTCATTTATTATTATGCAGTGTTTAAGTATGGAAAAGTCTTCTGGTTTTGTCTATAGTGATCTTACGGGTTATGAATCTGTGCTGTGAACATGGAGGAATTATATTCCTCCGTTACATTGCTACAAGCCCACATGAAGTTTCAAGCCAGAAGACCAACATTGGTATCTTCGCTGTGAGAGCCTCAGATCTTACATGCTTCTACTTATCTTCCCGAATTATCATCATCTTATCGTCTGCTTTCGTATGTAGTTAAAATTGCAGCATGCTATAGAGTGAAGGTGATATCTGTTAGTAAGGTGACAGATTTTATCAAACTGACTCGGCTCAGGATAGGGTCTGGTTCACAAGAGTTTGAACACTTCCAGTGACCTTCGGAAGATTTCCGACCCCTAAATTATAGACAAGAAAAACTCTGCACGAATATAATTTAATCATACGTACCATTGCATCCTGTGGTATCTCTTTGACGATATCGTATTTAACATTGAGGGTTGTCAGAGGACCGTCTGTCCCAATCTTCACATCCAATTTATTTATGAAATCGATATTAGAGCAGGTTGCCTTAGCTGATTGCAGCGTCAAGACGAAAGGTGTCTGAAAGAGGAAAGGAACAAGTGTTTATAATATTTCATAAATACATGCATTCCCTGAGTAGAACTGAAAGAAACATTTGTCTCCGATTAAAATGGCATTCGTAGGTTAGCAGTTATCGTTATCTGCTGCTATGTTGATACGAGCTTGGAATATAGAAATTTGTTGAAATCCTTTCTTGGATAGTGTTGCTGCAACCAAGCCACAAACGGACGGACATATAGTAATTTACAGCAAGTTATTCTGAGCTGTGTTACGCGCAGAAATTGGGCAAACCTGTAATCACATTGTTCCTTACCTACCATAATCGATAACCCTGCCTTTTTATTTGCGTATCTCGCTGAGGATACTTACTGCCATAGCTGGGTAGTACCCCAACAGTACCAACATGCATATTGCAGTGCCGATGGCCTTCATGGTTCTCTGTTCTACTTCCACGAATATTCTGGATTCTGTCAATGCTGTAAGCGGCATGTTTATATTCCGTGTAATAAACAAAGCTGCCGGGCCTCTCTTTGTTCTGCTTCCGTTTTCCGCTATCTAGTTATCTGATGTATTCACAAATATCTGAAAAAACTTAGTTAGTTCCATCGTGGTTCTGTATTAATCGGTCATTGTAATATTTTAGTGACGGAGAAAATAAATGCGTAAAAAATTTTGGTTCGGAAGCCTGGAAGGAGGAGGTCACCCAGATGACCTTGAGTAAATGAGGAATAATATTAAAACGGATTTTAGGAAAATATGGTTGGAGTTTGAACTGGATTCAGGTCCAGTAAAGGAATTTGCCCACGAAGAGATGATGTGGCGTCCATTACTAGCACAACGTTGAGCTCAGGATTTCGTCGGTAGTTATATTGATTCATTAATAGGTTTAAAATTTACACAACTGCACTCAATGTGGGGCTGTGAGATTACAACGGTTTCGTTTTGGAGGAGGTTAGAAAATGTGTAAACGAAAGGTAGAATTTATTTCCTAGGTGCACAACGCAAATAAGTTAACAATAACTGAATCTTTCTGTTCCACCATCTTAGTGCAGTGCTACAAAATGGCAGTTCTGAGCCTCATGCATTGTTGAATGTCACTGTTGCCTAAAAGCATAGCTGTTAAGAGGACCAGGAATTGAATGCAAAAGTATTTTTAATGCTGTGAAAAATAAGATCTGACTGATATATTTTAAATCAGATATGTTTCAATGTCTGTACAGCATGCATTCATTTCTGGGAACTTCGATTGAGAGCAGCATATTCGCTACTTTTTTTTAAAAAAATAATACGACAGTTGCTAAACAAAAGGCCTTTACGTTCAGAGATGACAGATAATCGACCTACATAAAATTGCGAAAGAGCCTGTTAAAATTTGTACAAGCTGGTGTGGCTACACAGTTGTAAACCCGTGGCCTGTTGTGAGTGAAGCTTATTAAACGATTTCTTTGTAAAGAGTTTCTGATTTGTCTCCACTTGTTGACACAGAATTTCACAATCGTTTTTAAATTGCTTATCGATCAGACGTAATAATGATGCGAATATGGTCAGTTTTAATTTTATGATATTCCGTAGTAACACTTGTTTTCACACATAGCGTTAAAAGGACAACCAAATTCCGTCGTTGAATCATCCAGCTCATTAACATTCTTTGTGTAAGGTCCTTTTAATATTACCGCCCTACCCTGCGAATGGAACAGTTGGCAAAGACCTGAAACGTTTTGTTTCCGGTAAGTGTGTGAGTGTTTGTTCACATAATTAACAGCGTAATAATTAGACCGATTTCGTGCTTTCGAATGTCATTACATAGCGTAAGGTTAACGGTTGATGTTGAATTTTGGCGCCAGCACCACGAGAGATTGCTTACTGATACTGCCAGTGATGTAAAGCATATCAGTAGGCACGCGATCGCAAACAGTTTCCACAGAATTGCGAAAGTTTCGCCGGTGTGCTGTACACAGTGGTACGGAGCCGGTTATTGTGTGCTGATGGGACATCCGATATGCAGAACAAGGACCACGTGAATGAGTTACTGTACCTATTACATGTTCCGACGAAGCAGCAGTATCGAAACTGATATTAAAGCCTTCCACATAGGCATCCCACCATACAAATGTTTGCTGTGGGTTGCTGAGTCACCCGGCGACCTCTTTAAAATATTTGTGGCGTACGTTACTTGTCTGCACAAGACAGAATGATTAAGAACTGTAACTTTAGAATGTTAATTTACTTAGTGGGCGTCGTACTGGCGCTAGATTATGCAAACAAGCAACGGAGACAGCGGTAATAAAGTGACCATCTTCTGGGTACCGTGTGATCTACCGACGTTTCAGAAGTTCTTGCTGCCAAATATCGTGGTTTAATGGATAAAAGTAATCCTTTACACTGCGAAATCGCCGGTTTAATTCTCCACTTGGAGGCTGGGAGTTCTATCAGAAGTATTTGATATCCACGAATCCTACAGGCAAATGGTCGGATATTAACTTAAAATAGGACACAGCCAGTTCGTGGCATGTTATTTATATTTCGTCATTCCTCCCATTTATCGTGTCCGTAAATTAATGAAATCCTCTTGTTTTAGTAAGGTATGTTTCAACTATAGCATATATTTTGTATCGTCGAAGCCCACAATTGTTGGAATAAATTGTTTGGGGGTTGAGGGACACGTTTCCTTCACTGCTAAACACCTAATATGTCGTAGATTAGAATGGTCCTTTCGTGGAAGTGAAATCTCTCGTGTGTTGTGTGCAAAGGGTTAAATAAACTGAGACATAAATTTAGTCGCTTTGGCGTTTATCCAGGCAGGTTCATTGTGTCACTTTTGCATGGAGAGCGACTCGTCGTAGAGTGGAGGTCGCCAAGGACCTCACCGCACCTCACAAGCACGCTTCCTACAAACGTAATTTATACCCCGTGTCCAGACTGTGTTGTCCTGTCTTCAATAAAAGGCCAAGGAGACAAAACAGCAATGAGCTTACTTACGCACTGAGTGTGTACTCTCTTACAGGAGTGTCGGGTTCAGTGGCGGCCAGTGAGTACAACGTACTGCTATTATTTTATTGTATTCCTCGGTTTTTCAGTCACTTCAAGTTAGTGCCGGTATTGTTCAAACCGCGTGCATATCTCTGGATTTGTTATTCACAACCATCTCCTTATAATATATAACAATAATTTTCGATAACACTTGACTGTACGAGCGCCGTTTTCGTGCGATGCGGGAGAAATTGAAAGTTCTGACGGTGGCGGTTCTGGTAGCAAGAAATTAAAATTGTGTGCCTTTCGTTTCATAAAGGGCATCAACATATTTACCACCTGAGTTACTGTCAGCTTTTAAAGATGTTCTTTCTTCCATTAAATAATTCAATAACTCCAATTAATGTAAATATGTAGGACTTCAGCGGAAGGAAAGGCAGTTAGATTTCGTTACATGTACTCGGCCGTTTTAGTCATTTTAACTACAAAGTCTTGTGAAAGAAATGCTGTAGGTTATGATTTTGTCCCACTTCAGCGTACTGGTTCGGTTGATTAGGCAAAATACGAGTTTAGATTAGGAGCTGTCAAAGCAAGTAGCAACAGGGAACGAACACGGGGCTGTGTTATGAAGAGCCAGGTAAGGCAAAGCAGCGGGCGGCAGGATGTGGGCTCGTGACAGGCTGGGCGAGGCGATAAACCTGCTCCCAAAATTGGACACCAGACATGACAAAGCTTTGTTCACACTCGCCGATTCAAACACAGAGGCGAATATCGGGCAGCCAAGACACAGCAGCACGGACAGATGGGAAGGCAAAACTGGGCTGGACAAGGGCTGAACGCTGAGTTCTGTTGTTCCAAATATCTCCTAAGTCTGGGGTTCCCTGGATGTCAATTAAAATCTTCGATTACCCCAATCTGTACAAATTAATTGAAATGTAGATGGTTGTCTTCTGCATTGCTGCGCCGTGTAGTCTGGTAGAAGTTTACAATCGTTTCGGAGGTCTTTGCTGCCTCCATCGTCAGGGCGAAGACACCCATATCTAGACTCACCGCCGTGAAAATCTGAAATCCTACAAATTAGAATGTAAAGAGGTTTCTGTCTTCTGGGTTGTTGCGCCGTGTAGTATGGTAGACAACCCAGAAGACAGAAATCTTCATACTCACCGCTGTGAAAACCTCAGATCATACAAATTAGAATGTGTTATAGAAATGTAAAATATAAGAACTACAAATGAAGGTTCCTGTTTCTTCAAGCTAAATACTGACGTGGCATGCGATGCGCAGAAGGCAGTCGTTCCTATCGTAGAGAATAGTAAAACAGGGGCGATTCGCTCACGTATGCAGGCTGTTGCATCCAGGTAGAAACCCGTTAGGAACAACCTGCTGGGTGGGCGTCGGCGAGGCGTCAGATCCTCAGCCTATTCCTTCCTATTCAGGTCTCTGCGTGATTTTCATTAGTCCCGTGAGGCCGGAGATGGGTTGTCACAGTTTCGCTACCCTGAATGAAATTCACCACACACCTCACCCCGAGCCCGAAATTCTAATTTCCTATAAATCATTAGATGTGTAGCGAAACGAAGATGACTCCATAAAACTGTGATTAATATCAACTTCGTAAATGCGAGTAGGTACATTTTTACATGTGCTCAGAATCATCAGCTTCGTTCATTTCAGAGTTATTATTTCTTTTAATCGGGACGTAAGTGTGGCTCATGCTGTCTGCAAAAAATGGATGTGAGGGTGTCGAGTGGACTCGACTCGCTCACGACGTGACCCAGTGCGTATGGGTCTGTGAACTTGGGGTGAACACAGCGATTTACGCTACTGAGGAGAATGTTGGAACCCAAGAGGGAGGAAGTGACATCAGACTGAAGAAAGGTTGATAATGACGTATTGCACATTTTGTATCCTTCCTGGAATCTTATTAAGATAAGATTGGCTGAGCATGTAGCACTTGTAGGACAAATGAGGAACGCATACTTAGCTTTGGTCGTAATATCTGATGGGAAGAGGCCAATTGGAAGACTTAGACGTAGATGGTAGGATAACATTTGTTAAGAGGATAGGCGCCAGTGGCTGACTCTTGCCAACACGGTAATGAAGGTCTATACCAAAAACAATGGTTGATCCGTATCGGTAGGACCATAATATTAAACTATACTTTTGCACCAACTTTTTAGACGGATGGAGTAAAAGTTTTATAGGAAAGAAATCTAAAACTTATGTCTGAAATATTTTTATATGACCGATATTTAACTAGGTGTAATGAATCATTGCTAACTATGCAGTTGATACATGTAGTGTGATTAGTCTTACATCAATAACTTTAACGAAATTACTGTCAGTGCCACAGAGGGTGGAGATTTCGCAAACAACGACCCGAAAAACATGCGAATTTGTTGCTCGGGGTAAATGAGCTCGGGTTCACATCCCCGTGTCTGGTGTGAACAGGCCTCTTCCTCTTATCACTCAAAGGGCATGAGAGGCGGCGTCTGTAGAGTCAGGTTTTTCTCAATGAAGTGCAGCCTGCCTGT